ATAATAAGAATTATGTCGAACCATTTGGGAGAAAGTTATGGGTAGACATTTACCTCAGTTTCAGATTGGAAACTAGGATCCAATGATTGACAGAGGAGCGTAACTGAATTACAGAATAGGTGTTGAGCCCATTCTTGCCACCAAGCATTAAACAAATTGGAATAAAAGGGACCACACTTCCATCCTTCGGCATTGATGGAGGGCAGAGCATCTTCAAACTGTTTAATTATCTAGAATTCCCATGGTTGATTGATGGCTTCTCTTGGCCTTAGTTTGTCTACATAGAAAAGCCCAGGAGGCAACTGTCCAAAGCCAAGTTGGCGAGCAGCAATGGAAGGATTGTAGAATTCATAGGACGTTGGTGGCTTCTCCCGATCATGCCTAAATTCCACTGGGAGCAAGCCTGGTTTGACTATACACTAGAAAATTATAGTTGATTGCTCATCCAAACAGGCAGTTTCAAATCTGAAGGAGATCGGGAGTTCAAATTCCATAATTTCTAGATAGACGAACCAAGTTAGAACCTCGTCTGGAAGCCCCTTGTAGAAACCTCTGAAAAACTGACCTGTGCTCCAATTGATCGAGATAACCGATGCAGCCTCGCCAAAAGACAGACATCGGCGAACTTATCCTCTTCATCCAGATCCTCTTCTTGGGCTTCTGAGTAATTCAGAGAAGGGAAGTTTAGAGTTCAAAGGTCATTCACTGTGATCTTCTGCATATGCAGGTTCATCCATAACTGCAAAAGCCACCATGGTCCACTGATTGTACCAATTGGCTAATTGATCATCAGCTTTGAAGATACTTGATGCATCAGGTGGTACAAGGATCCAAGCTGACACTTGCCTAAAGGGATATCAACACCACAAGACAGTCGTTCTGCCAAATACTAGTAATTGGCATTTGGGCTGCATGAAGATCCGCAGAAGAGATACTTCTCTAACCACATGTTCAAGAAGGCTGCATGTTCTTTAGGATCAGCACTCCTGTTCTAAGTTCGCTTGTGCACAGCAATGTAGCCTCCCCACCCACCAGACCTGACACTCTAAACTTTATGTTCTGGAATTCCAACAAGGTCATAGGGTTGGAGGGGCCCTATAATCCTGTGGCCGGTTAACATGTGGATATCGGCCAAGGTGACTGTCATTGGCTCATGACCAAATATGAAGGCATTGAAAGCATTGGACCAGAAGTATGAAGTTGATTTCAACATAGGTTCATTCTTGTTTATGTTAGACAGAGAAAGAGCTATGCACTGGTCCAAATCATAATCCACCCATTTGGTCTGATGTGTTTTGCCTACTCTGAGGTACCAATCTCTCCACCCATTTAACGGGAGTGGCTACGCCCTAAAAGTCTTATTCCATACTGAAGGGCTCATGGTAGATTGCTTGAATGGAAGCCTGCCTGTTTCTAAATTAATAAGCTCAGTCGGATCTGGATCACCCATCAGGCCCAAGAAGTAAGCATTCTCGACGTCAGTTGGGATCAAGATTTTGTTCTTAAGATCCTAGACCAAAAAGAGTGGATCTGTGAGCCGAAGGATGGATAAAAAGCGAAGAATCGACAAAGAAGGTCTGTAGGTCATACCTCTGGGACAAAGTCGATGGTGGCCATCTGTGGATTCACCATTGGATTAGATCTAGATCTATCAAGCATGACCTTTATGCTGTGATTCTCCGATTGGGTCACTATTTCCAAGGGATGCGCAAGAAGCAACTGGGCTCTTCAATTTGTTCAGAGCGTTATTGAGCCTACTAGGGTTTGGCGCTTGGAAGGATTGCGGCGGCCGGCAAGCGGAGTGAAAAGAGGAATGCAGCCAGAAAGACCAAGCGAAGGAGGAAGGGGCAATTTTGGGAATATAATGTGAGCTCTTGCCCGGAGATTGTGACTGAAGCGGGGGTTTCAGCGTGAATACACAACACATGCAATGGTCATGAAAGTAATTTTGGGACAAATCTTTTTATCCCAAAATTGGAGGGCATATGTTGACACTAAAATTTGGTTCAAGGTGAGAAGCTCCTAAAAACGAGAAACTACCAAGGAGAAGGCCGAGATTTTCAATCAAATCGGCTAACCAAATTGCCAGATCAGCTAGCAAGATGACGTCATCAAGGGAATGAGCCCTATCGGCAGAAGCAACAAGACATAAAGCAAGTAGACACGTCGGACTCCACAGAAGGGAAAGGTTGGAGCCCAAGTTATCTTAAATTAGGAAGTTTTTGTCTTCTTTATCAAGTTTCGTAGGCAGTCTTGTTCGACCAGCAGGACTTGTAGTCTAGCCTTGGGTATAAATATTAAACCACGGCTATTGTAATGGACATCTCTCATCGATCAACCAAATCAGGTACCTTTACTTTTCGGCTCAGGCCACCCTTTAGGAGTAGAAGTAGAATAGATTTCGACGAGTTCTTTGGGCAAGCAGGGCTGCATCGGACGACCTAACCTCTGGCTTGTTTGTGAGTATCCATCATGACTTATATAGTTACTTGCAAGGCTGCAATAGACGGCTGATCTCTTGCTAGTCGCTGTATAAGTTATTTATCAATCTATATTGTTATTTGTAAGGTTGCAACAGATGACCGATTTCTTACAAATCATGGTATAGATTAGTTATCGATTTGTATTAACTTTTACAAGGCTGCAACAGATGACTGATCTCTTATAAACGTTGGTATTAATCAAAGTTATCAATATTGTGTTAAATAGTTTACTGTTTTATATAATATCACCCATTGCCCGATCTAGATTGAGATTCATTGGTTTTATCTATTTTGATGCATCGTCTACTGATTACTATCACAATTGAATTTAATTCTTGATGTTAGATCCTATTTTGATGACTAATCTATCTCGGTCCTGATCGTACATGGCGGGTGTTTGAAGTCGTGTTCTATTAAGAGATAGATTCATTGATCGTCAATATCCGGTATGATTCCACTATCAATGTTGCATCAGCCGACTTGATCGGTTGATAGCGTGTTAGATTGGACACTGTCGATTAATAGATCTACCTATTAAGAAGGGCATGATGTCAACCACCCGCTATGTCTCCATCGGCTATTTAGTCGATGGCTTAAGCTTCCATGCGCATAACATACTTTCATGATTCCTTTGCGATATAAGTAGATATATCGATTGTTGGTCTCTGATCTAGGGTCCTACTGTAAATGTTGCATCAGACGACTCGACCTGTTGACGGTACAATAGATTGAGTTTAGTTGTTTGTAGATTTATTTGTATCCAATGGATGAGTGATTGTATGTTGTGCGACCCGATCATTGGAATTGGCTATTTTAGCCGATAGCCCGCTTTGTTGAGGATATACTGTCTTTTTATATGCTTTTACTTGTTTTTGTCCCGGTTAAAAGCTACTATGTCTCTCACACTTATGCTTACATGTCTAGCCTTACATCTTTCGCATGTTTTCATGATCATCGGCTAAGTTAGATTCATTCAACTGAGTAAATAATAATTATCGATATACTTGTTTTTGCTTAGATTACATCATGAACATGCTCGATATCGACTGTTTAGTCGATAGCCTTATCGTGCTGGCCACTTGGCCATATATTTGGAACTGTCTGGAAAAACAACGGCATGTTCCACCTTAAATTACTGATTAACTTTCTCTCATTTTCAATTGCTAGGTCAAATTATATTGACTAGCACGCCCTCGATCACGACCATCCTGTCCGGCGTCCTTCCTAAGTCCGGAGAGAGCTCGGGGTCTGCTCCACGTGGTTTCTCTCGGCTTGCTTCGTGTGTCGGCGGCTACCTGTCGCTTTCTGGCGTCGACAGGGGTTGAGTGCCCTTTCTTCTCCAACTCTGCCGGGTTTAGAAGGGGCTAACAGGAGGTAGGCCGGCCATGCGGTGGGGACAGCGGGAGGGTGGCTTTAGGGTTCCAGAGGCGGTGGAACCAGCTGGGCCAGGTCTAGGCGGGGGCACCAATGGCCATGGCGGCGGCAGGAGGGAGGGATTGAGCAAAAGGACCAGGAGGCCGCCGTGGGCGTGGTAGGGTCTCGCCAAAGCTCCACGGCCGCGGAGCTACGGCGGGGCGATGGGTGTTGGGCGGCGGCGGCCGCGGCAGCGCATTGGAGAGGAGGAAGAAAAACAGTGAAAAAGATCCAATGCCCCCACCGGTAAAACACTCGAGTGTTGTATAGACCCCTCCTATTCTAAACATCGGATAGTCCGCAAATTTACATTTAATCCATACCTGCCGGATTTTATGGATTACATATCTTACCCCGCATCCGCACACAATCAGATTCGGATTATCTATATCCATATGGATATTAAAAGTTCTTCTCCATATTTTTAAAATTCAGATTCAGATCAGATTGGAGCGAAGAATTTTCTGCACCACTCTCACCCCTAGCCCTATGCTATATATTCTTAGTATATGGTAATGTCAAGAGAATTCGAAGGCAAGCAAAGTGACCTATACGGTTTGGGTCTGTACAAGGATTACAACAGAGATACATATATGTTAAACTTGATCCGTTGGATTGGGATTTTTTGGTCAACAGAGAAATAGGCAGTCCCGTATTTGTATTTTCAATTTAAATGTCAATTTCAAATTCTACAAATAACTTATATATATTAACTTTCTTGAAAAAAACTAAACATTTTTATTGGTAGTACTTTTGTGTTGCTCAATGTGGCAGTGTGGGTGAGGGCAATAGGAAAAACTGTGACGCATTGCGTATGAATCCTGAGTAGATTTATGGAAATTGCGGCCTTATTCCCAGCGGTCTGCGGATTCAGCAAATCTTCTTTTTAGTTCCTATATATATGCATCGTGAATATATATTGTTGGAAAATAGGTAAAACCTTCTATTTTGCGGTATGCTCGGTTCGTGTCGGACTCTCCCTTCGTCGAAACGCAGGGCGTGGACTTATTTGATCTCAAAAGCACAACGACACGAAGCAACTTTTCCCGATATCCTAACGGCCGCCGAACTCGATCAATCTGCCGCTCCTCCGACGACCAGACCATGTCCCGACCCTCGGCGCATCAGCAACATCAGTGGCAGCGGCGGCGGCAGCACGGCGAAGTGTTCGTCCGGCTGGTTACCGCCGCGAACCTCGTCCAGGAGCTGTCCACGATCCGCGCCCTCCTGGAGACGTACCCGCACGTGACCGTGCACGCGGAGCACCACGGCGGCGGCGGCGGCGACGAGGAGGGCAACAACCTGCCGCCCGGCGTGCGCATCGACAACCTCCCCGCGGCGTCCCGGTACGGGCTGGCCAAGGTGGACGTGGACTCCTCGGTCCCGTACTCCCAGCTCGGCATCACGCTGTGCGACGCCAACGGGAGGCTCCCCGTGCTGACCGCCACGCCCTGGCCCCCGGGCGCCGCCGCCGCCGGACAGTCCGTGTGGCAGGTCGGGTTGCACGACCGCGACTACTCCGTCTCCGGCGGTGTAGTGAGCAGCCTGAGCATGAGGGCGTTCGCGTACGCGCTGTTCGCCACGGGCGTGGTGTCCGCGGAGACCCGGCGGAGCACCGCCGTCACGTGGGTCGCGTACGGCGGGCTCTACCACCTCGGGTTCCTCCTCAAGGTGCTCACCGGCGGCGCGCGGCTGCCGGACACGAAGGAGGAGTTCCTGGCGTCGCTGAGAGCCTACCTCGGCGACAGGGTGTTCGACGGGAGGTACGTGGCGGCGCGGCTGCCCGGGGAGGATGATGTGAGCTTGAAGGGCCCTCTCACGCACATGGCGGCGCTGCTCGGTGCGCCCGCGGCGACGGCGGCAAAGGAGCCGTGGCAGGCCGGGGAGCGGAGCCTTGTCGCGTGCCAGGTGTTCATGCGCCTCAAAGGGCTCTTCTTCGCATGGGACGACACCATAGACGTGCATGCTGGCTGTATCCACGGCCTGCACTCACCAACGTCGTCGTCGAGCTGATTGTGTTGTACGTACATATTCTTTTCATTTACGACAAGATCATGTTGTACAATAGGATCTATTTGTCAATTGTACATTGTACCTAACTTAACTATATACAGGATACTATTTATAAAAAAATAGCACGGATGATGTGCAACTGATTTTGTCAAATGTTGTAGTGGGCTGCGGTCCCTCGCCATATGGTACATATAGATTGAAACAGCGGTTATTATATAAAACAAAGAAGAAGGCATCATATATTATAGAGTACATCAAGAAAGAGAGAATCTCATCTAGTAGCGGACAACACTCTAACTAGATTGACTTTGTTCTCGCAAGAAGAAAGGACAAACGAGCATATTTGGGTTGCAAGGTGATACCAGGGGAGTGTGTTGTTTCTCAACATAAGCTTTTGGTGGCAGACTTTCGTTTTCAGGTGCGTGCCCGTAGGAATAAACAAGCTAAGATTGAAAGAACAAAGTGGTGAAAACTGAAAGGGGAGACGTCAGAGGTATTTAGGGAAATGGTTATCAAAGAGGGCTCTTGGAAGGAAGAAGCGGACATAAACAACATGTGGAAGAAGACGGCAACCAACATTCAGAAGGTGACCTCAGAGGTGTGTGGAGTAACCAAAGGAAGTGGAGGCGAGGCTAAAGATACTCGGTGGTGGAACGAGGAAGTCCAAAGGGCTATTAAGGAGAAGAAATAATGCTATAGACGCTTGTACCATGATAGGAGTGTGGACAACATAGACAAGTACAAGGTGGCAAAAAAGACTGCAAAGCGAGCTGTAAGTGTGGCAAAGGGTAGAGCGTACGAGGATCTTTACCAATATTTGGGTACGAAGAAAGGAGAGAAGGACATTTATAGGATGGCTAGGGTTCGTGAGAGAAAGACAAGGGACTTCAACCAAGTTAAGTGCATTAAGGATGAAAGAGAGCATCTCTTGGTGAAGGAGGATGAGATTCGACATCGATGGCAAGAGTATTTTGACAAATTATTCAATAGTGAGAATACGAACACAACCTTTCAGTTGGATGACTCTTTTGATGACACCAATAGGCGCTTTGTGCGGATAATCTAAGAATTTAAGGTCAGAGAGGCGTTGAAAATGATGAAAGGTGGTAAGGCGATGGAACCGGATGGTATCCCAATCGAGGTGTAGAGATGCCTCGGGGACATAGCTGTAGTATGGCTAACTAAGCTGTTCAACCATATTTTTCAATCGAACAAGATGCCTGACGAGTGGAGGAGAAGTATACTGGTACCGATCTATAAGAATAAATGGGATATTCAAAGTTGTACTAATTACCCGGGAATTAAGTTGATGAGCCATACTATGAAGCTATGAGAGAGAGTTATCGAGCATCGCTTGAGAGCAATAACGCGGGTCTCTATGAACCAATTTTGTTTCATGCCCGGAAGGTCAACCATGGAAGCCATTTTCTTAATAAGACAAGTTATGGAGCGGTATAGAGAGAAGAAGAAGGACCTACATATGTTTTTTATTGACTTGGAGAAGGCTTATAATAAAATACCAAGGAATGTTATGTGGTGGGCTTTGGACAAACATAAAGTCCCAACAAAGTACGTCGGGCTCATTAAGGACATGTACAACAATGTTGTGACTAGTGTTCGAACAAGTGATGGAGACACGGATGACTTTCCGATTAGGATAGGACTACATCAAGGGTCAGCATTGAGCCCTTATCTATTTTCTTTAGTGATGGATGAGGTCACAAGGGACATCAAGGGGACATCCCTTGGTGTATGCTTTTCGCGGACGATGTAGTGCTAGTTGATGAAAGTCGGATAGGAGTGAATCAGAAACTGGAGTTATGGCGGGAGACTTTGGAGTACAAAGGTTTTGGACTCAGTAAAACCAAAACTAAGTATGTGAGATGTGACTTCGGCACTACTACTCGGGAGGAGGAAGATATTAGTTTAGAAGGTCAAGTAGTGCCTAGGAAGGATACCTTTCGACATTTAGGATCAATGCTATAGAGAGATAGGGATATTGATGAAGATATTAGCCATAGAATCAAAGCAGGGTGGATGAAGTGGCGCCAAGCATCTGGTGTCCTATGTGACAAAAGGGTACCACAGAAGCTAAAAGGCAAGTTTTATAGGACGACGATTAGACTTGCTATGTTATATGGTGCAGAATGTTGGCCTACGAAAAGACGACATGTTCAACAGATAAGTGTCGTGGAAATGCGTATGTTGCGTTGGATTTGTGGTCATACAAGAAGGGATCGAGTTCGGAACGATGATATACATGATAGATTAGGGGTAGCACCAATTAAAGAAATGCTTATCCAACACCGGTTGAGATGGTTTGGACATGTCCAACAGAGACCTCTAGAGGCATCGGTGCGTAGTGGAATCCTAAGTCAGGATAGTAACGTGAAGAGAGGCAGAGGAAGACCGAAGTTGTCTTGGGTAGAGGCAATAAAAGGAGACTTGAAAGGATGGAATATACCCAAAGACTTAGCCTTAGATAGGAGTGCTTGGAAAATAGCTATTCACGTGCCTGAACCTTGATTGCTTTTCTGCTGGGTTTCAACTCTAGCCTACCCCAACTTATTTGGGACTTAAAGGCTTTGTTGTTGTTGTATATTGTATGAAAAAAGTAATAAATCATAGTTACAAACCCCTCCTTTATAACCTAATTTGTACACACAAGTTGTCTTCACTCTTTCTTTGACACGAACAAGTGTGAAACTAAAGCTTTGTTACCGGTTTATGTTAACTAAAGCTTCTGATCGAACCGTGACTCCTGGCCGGGAAGCGCTTGTCCAGCTTGAGCTCCATGTTCGCTGAATCGCTTCGACCAACCCATTGAGGATGAGTTTGATGTTAGGATTCATGGTGCCATGACAACAGCGTTGCAGATGGGTGAAGCAGTCGTGGGGCGAAGGTAGCTCTAGAATGAGCCAAGCCTTGCCATGAGGAGATGATGCGGATTGAATCACAACTGAGATATAGGGCTCCGTTCACAATTCCAACCCAAATCTGGTGCCAAATCGACCTATGGTGCCACCGTCGCCTGGCGGCCTGCGGCTGGTAGCTGGTTGGGGCCTGGCTAACAGGATCCCTAGGCGTGGTTGCGTGCACGATGGCAAAGCAAGAGCAATAGACAATGGATGGTGCGCGACCCCAAGCCTCGGCAAGCAACAATGAAGTCATTGCAGCGGCCGACGTGTGGTAGCAATAACGGGAGTCAAACAGGAGTATGTTAAACCCTTGGATTAAGGGCATGACAGTCCGATTAACCTCACGACTGATTTTCCTAATAGGTCATGGGCTTGGGGCCTACACCCATCGGGTGAGCTCGAGCACACCACTCAAGCAGACAAGGAATGGCTCGGTGGGCCATAGATGGTCCACTCCTTAGTAAATCACCGGTGTCAAGGGAGTGAGCTAAGGGATGCTAAGCCCCCGTTTGAGCCGGCTTCACCTCGGGGCTCAGCCAAGGCATAGGGGTTCCTGACCTAGGGAGGTTTTGGCTGAGCAAGAGCCCCCGCAGTTGTAGCAATCTTGGCTCGGGCCGAGTGCTCACCCCGGGCAACACTAGATAGGACAGGCCCTAGAGTTTGTTAGGCATACATAGCATGATAGGCTTTCAGAACAGCAGGGTGTTAGGAACACCCATTTCCTCTCCACCACAGTTAGGTGGTGTCGCCCACTCCTGGGGACAAGGTCATGTCCTAGGCATGACGCGTTAGGACAAGGATCTCCGCATGGCTATGAAGTGGAGGACTTCAGGCCTAGATGGTAGTTCCTCTCTAAGCCTGCAAGCAGGGAAGAAAGCCCTGAGAAGGCACATCCATGGAATGCATGATGGCAACAGATAGCACCTGCGGTCCACGCCTAACAGCGACAGACACCATCAAGGAGCAGTGTCGGCCCCAGCTACAAGACAAAGGAGCCAATTGCGGCACCATGGAGGAGAAGACAGAAGGCTAGGGCAAGAAATCCTTGGAAACCCTAGAAACCATCATGTCTTGTACTCCAATGGCCCTCCGGTATATAATGATAGGCATGGGCTCCTAGAGAGGGATCGAACCCAACCATACTAAGAAGGAATGATTGGACCTCTATAGATCAAACCCTAGACTAGTGTAGCACATTGCTTCCCCCCTACTTCTCTCCCTCAATCTCCATTGTAAGACCTCGACTGAGCATTCTTAACACGAAGAAGCACTAATGTTGATCGTAGGGTTTAGACAGCCAAACCAGGATAAACCCCATATATTTTGAGTTCTTAAGCCACCATAGGTACACACACTACTATAGAATAAACAATCAGTGTTGGCCCATCACTGCTGGAATTTTAAAAATGACAGTAATAGATGCATTATTGCCGGTTCGTAAGGAAAAGGCTTATCACTGCCGGATTTTCTTACCAACCGAGTATTGATGGATATTATCACTGCCAATTGGTAATACAACTAGGTAGTGATGTCTATCATGATGGGTTGTATTACCAAACCAGTTGTGATCCATGGCCTCTGGACTCAAAATTTTTATTCATCTCAGTTAACTCCTCACTCATGTACAAAGTTAGCCAGTCCACACCTTTCTTCTCTCTCTCTCTCTCTCCGCTCTCTCTCCTAGAGATATATTCGCTTGCTCCTCCCAACTCCCTAGACCTTCTTCTCCTCCCTAGATCTACTCCCCACGCCTCCACACAACAACAAACCAATGCGGCTCCACCCCGGCATGCTCACTGCCTGACGCGGGCACGAGGCTATCGTGGGCGTGATTGGGTGGGGACCGTTGTGAGCACGATTGCGCAGCTGGGTGCTGATCCACCATGATGTGGGCATGACTGAGCGTGAGTAGCGCGGTCGAGCGAGCAACGCCGGTGGCTTCTTCTTCCTCATGGCTCATGGTTGGGGGCGCGGCACCAGATCTGGCATTGGAGCGGCGAGGGGCGGCCTCCAGCATGAGACCAACCTCGGCCTGTCCGATGGCATCTCCACTCTCTCCCCCTCCTGGCCTTTCATCCCCTC